TCGAGGCACCACTCAAGGGCGGGGCAGCGGCGGCTCACCCACCTCGCAAAGGGTTCTTCAGGTCCCTGTTTGGCCCCAAGCGAGGGTCGTTCAGCGGGAGGAGGCGCACGGTCTTGTTGCCGGACATACCCCTGACGCTGGTTAAGAAATTGAAGGTATGGTAGTTGGGGGGGGTTACTGTGTATTTTTCATCAGTTTCAGTCAGCGCTCACAGAGTTTCTGTCGGGCAGGAGCTACAGCCCGTGGGGAGGGGGGATATACTGTACCCGAGGTTATTTTTTTTCGTGCTGTAGTGTTTTTGCCCTGTTTGTAGTATCTTTGCCCTATTGACCTCGAATGTAAGAAATATGTCGGGATGGTGCACGTTTGGCCCTCGGTTGCTACAGTAGGCTCTCATGGTAAATACCAGCATGGTAGATACCAGCATGATAGATACCAACATGGTAGATACAAACATGGTAGATACCAACATGGTAGATACCAGCATGGTAGATACCAACATGGGGAATAAGCATGGCGTTGCAGAGGACCTGAAGGGATGGGCGAGCTGCTTGTACCAGCTTTCGGTGCCCATTGTGTGCGGGGTTTCTTAAGCAGGGGTTGGACAACAGGGTCCTGCTTCTGAAGTATGCACCCAAGGAGAAGACTATTTCCCACCAAGCGGTGTTGCTGTCTCGCGTAATACCAGCAGGGTTGCCCTGTTCTGTGGGCGTGTGCCTTCAATGCCTCCCTCTTCGCCGCCCTTGGTGATTGCCTGCCTCTGCCCTTACGTGTTTGACCTCGTGTATATGTATGTACCCACCACGCCACCTGTCTTTGCCGATGCGGCAACGGCGATCAATGAATGTCAGGACGTTTCCGGCACCACCGTGAACGACGTCGTCATGACCCTTATCGGGGGGTGCATCCGGCGCTATTCCCTGGCCAATGGGGATGCTGCAGGCAACTCCATTGGCGGGTGAGATGCCACCCTTAAACACACAGGGTCTGTCTGATGCACACCCCGAAACCACAAATTTAAGAAATGGTGCAGTGTAATTGTTTATTGAACACACCTATTACCCACCCAACCCTTTGGTTTTCGGTCACTGTAAACGAGCACCACGTTCGATATCTAGACTGGACACTCTTGTTTGGGAGAGAACACAAAGAACCGTAGGAGGGGACAAGGCTTGCGTGTATTGCCATCTACGGAAAAATTCTTTGGTCAGAGATGGACCTTCTTTCCAGTGGAAATGCTGTCCGAGGCGCTCCGACAGTTTTTGGATGAGAAACGAATGGTTTCGCCGACACAGCAACAGTTATTGTTCATCGCTCCACGGCGGTAATTGACCTCTTTGAGACCTCGACTAACAAATTTGCTGCCCGTGAACAGCCTTAGCAACTATTCTACAAGTATGGTACCGCTCGGTGTAACAATAAAGGTAGAATACCGCTCGGACAATTGTGAGCATGACAGTGGTGTCTATGTTTCCGAGCCGATATGCACTTGCGATCCCCTGCCCCCCCACGAAAACAATGGGAGGTCCCCCGGTTCGTTTAGATGGATGGTCTTCGTTAAATTTCATTTTGCTTTCCTCCGTTGCGCCTAGTTCCCCCCCCGGGACCTGCCAAGTTTGCCTTGTTTTGACACGAGGACCGATGTAAAATATTATTTCTTGTACCAGCTTCTGCTTGTGCCGTTTGCTGGCCGGCCAAGGCCCGCCTAACTTCCCTTCTTCGTGACGGGGACAGAAAAAACGTGCAGCAGCAGTTCCCGCTTGTGCTGTCCACTGCCGCACTGAATTACGTTGCCTTGTCGCGTCGCATTGTCCCGTCACTTCCGCGGGAAGCGCAGGCCGGGGTTTCGATCGAGAGCGCTGATTCCGGTAGCCCTGCCTAGGCCCTCTTCCACCTCGGGAGCCATCCTCTGCAACAAATGGGTGAGGTTGATTGTTTTGGTAGCTGGATTGCTCCAACGTAACCAAGAGACTGGCCAAATGCCATTGCCGAAGTGGGTGACTTTTGTTAGTAAGGATTTCGTCAATCGATAGAGAGAGAGACAGAGAGAGAGAGAGAAAGAGAGAGAGAGAGAAAAAAAGACAGAGCTTCGACTGTCCGTGCGGGCTCGATATCACCCCCGTGCAGTATGAGTGTGGAGCGATCTGTCTTTTTCAATCGATCGATCGCACACTTCACCTGCTGCTACCTTCGTCCGGGCACGTTTGCGGCAGCAACGATTGTGTCTGTCGTGATCAGCGCGACCAACCGATGAGTGAGGCTGCGACCTCAACTTTATTCCCCCGTCTTCGGTCGCAGTGCCACCCGAGAGGGAAACCGCAGCCTCCATCAACTACGCTCACAGTCGCACTATGTACAACAAACGGGTGATGCTGTACAGTAGCCTCTGCGAATTGCCGTTGCAGCCGTGGTGCAAGAAGTGGGTGAGGTTGCAGTCGACGTGGGCCTGCGAGTATGTGATCACTTCACTTCACATCACACCACAGCTGAACTCCATCGGGGGCGGCGCGTTTTGGTTCGGGCGGCGCGTTTCTCTTTTTCGGTGGTTCTCCGAACCCTCAGTTGCCGCAAAGAATCCTCCAATGTGTGTAGCCACGGCGCCCCCTCTCAACCCCTTCACGACCATCGCCCCCTTTGCAGAGAAAGATGGTTGCATTGCCAATATCGCCGATCCGACACTGTACTGCACCCTTTGCAACCGCAGCTAGGACTCTTCTAACCCACCCCCCGCCCTTGCTTTGAACCTCGCCCCCCCCCCCCCCCCCCCCCCTTTGCTCGGGTTTTGTGGGG